AGTGCTTTTGGCTGCAAGTAACAGAAAAATGTAGATTTACTGCTCTTAAATAATATGGCTAGTTTCAGGGCTGGTTATTTGGATACTCAACAGCATTGTCGGGATCCCACTATTTTCTTTCCATCCTTCTGCACTGCTCTGCTATCTTCAGGTTGCCAAGATGGCTGTCATGGATCCAAACATGGAGTGGAGACACGACAATGTCTGGTGGAAGAAAAAGTATTTCTTCTCAAGTTCTGATTGTGTCACTTTTCCAAAGAAGACATCCAGATGGCTAACAAACACATGAAAAGATGCTCAACGTCATGCCACATTAGGGAAATACAAATCAAAACCAGGATGAGGTACCACCTCACACCTGTCAGAATGGCTAAAATTAACAATGCAAGAAACAACAGGTAGGGGTGCCTGGGTGGCTCACTCGGTTAAGTGTCTGCCTTCAGCTCAGGTCATGATCTCAAGGTTGTGAGATCAAGCTCCCATTGGGCTCCACACTGGGCCTATGTAAGATTCTCTCTCTCCTTCTCCCTTTACCCCTCCCCCTCCCTAGTCACAGGAGCATGCACTCTCTCTCTCTCTCAAAAAAAAAAAAAAATGAAATCTTGCCATTTGCAGTGATGTGGATGAAGCTAGAGTGTATTATGCTAAGTGAAATAAGTCAGTCAGAGAAAGACAAATACCATATGATCTCCCTCATATGTGGAATTTAAGAAAAAAACCAGATGAACATATGGGAAAGGGTAAAAGAAAAAAAGGAGAGAGGAAAACATAAGAGACTCTTAAAGATAGAGAACAACCTGAGGGTTGATAGCGGGAGGTGGGTGGGGGGCTAGATGGGTCATGAGTATTAAGGAGGCCATTTGTGATGAGCACTTGGTCTTGTATGTAAGTGATGAGTCACTGAATTCTACTCTAGAAACCAACATTGCACTGTATGTTCCCTAACTAAAATTTAAATTAGGGGTGCCTGGGTGGCTCAGTCGGTTAAGTGTCTGCCTTCAGCTCAGGTCATGATCTCTCTGCCCCTCCCCACCACTTGTGTTCTCTCTTGCACACTCTGCTCTCACTCACTCTTTCTCAAATAAATAAATAAAAAATCTTAAAAAAATAAAATTTAAATTAAAAAAATATATATATAAAATAAAGTTCTGATTGTGTCAACAAGAAAACCCTTTTCCAGAAGCCCTTCAGTTGACTTCTTGTCATGTCCCATTGACAGAAGTGCCCCTGCCCAAGCCACATACTGGGAGAGGACAGGACCTACCAGCATTGGCTTACACTAATCATGATGACACTCCGCAGGGCTGGGCCTGGGGCCTATTTCCCATAAAGCACTTGGCCATGTGGAAGAGCCTGGATAGCTGAGGAAACATACCCTCTCTGAGCCTCTGTTCATCTGTAAAACTTCGTTGATTGTGAAGAACAAATGAGATAATGGACATGAAGTGTGAACCACACAGCAAACTCTCCGAGAGTGGTCATTATGATTATGGGCGTTCTCCATTCCCTAACTTCAATTCCAGAATGTGATTCCCTCTTGCAATGCACAAAAGACTGTACTAGGTCGAGAATCACAGCGAGAGCCACAGTGGCCTGGCTTTCAGGGAAGCTCTAGTCCTGGCTCCTGTGTCAAAGCCCTAGTCTGCTATCTCCCTTCAAGAATTCAGGAACGTTTCAAGATGCCGGCATTATAATTCTCCTCTTGTCACCTTCTCTATGACAGAGGATACAGAGGCTGCAGAATGTGGACAGTAAATTAATGGAGGATTAAGCACATACATTCCCTATGTACTGCCCAAAGCAAAAGCAATACTGTCCGGGGTCTCAATCACTATGACCATGGGTTTCAATGAGCTGGGCTGGCAGATAAAGACTCTTCATGTTCTGACTGCATTCAGGGTATGTCCTTGGGCTACCGGCCTACAGCTACCCAGTGACTGCCCTGGTGCCACTTCTGGCTTCCCTAAATCAGGCCAGATAGTGGTCTGACTGGTGGGACAGGGGCTTTAGGGTCAGACAGACCAATGCGCGTGTGAACACTGGCTCAGCCACTTACTAGCTATGTGACCGTGCAGAAGTCACTGAACTTGTCTGCTGCTCAGTTTCTTTATTTTTTCATCTGGAAAGTAGGTGCTATGGATTGAATGTTTGTAAATCCCCCTCCCCCCAATTTGTATGTTGAAACACTACTCCCCAATTAATATTTGGAGGTGGGCATTTAGAAGATGACTAGGTCATGATAAATGGGATTAGTGCCCTTAGAAAAGAGACTGCAGAGAGCTCCCCTTCTGCATCCCTGATCTGAGGACGTAGTGAGAAGATTGCTATGTGTGAACCAGGAAGCCGATCCTCACCAGCGATCAAATTTGCTGGTTCCTTGATCTCGGACTTCCCAGCTTCCAGAACTGTGAGAAATAAATGTCTGCTGTTTATAAGTCACCTAGTCCGTGGTACTCTGTTATAGAAGTCAGAATGGACTCAGAGACAAGGCCTTTGGGAGGGAGGCAGGTCATGAGCGTGAAGCCCTCATGATGTGATTAATGTCTCTGTAAGGACAGGAAGAGACTAGAGCTCGAGAAAATGGCCATATATGAACCAGCAAGCAGGCCCTCACCTGACCCGGAATTGGTGGCACCTTGATCTTCCACCTCTCAGCCTCCAAAACCATGAGAAATAAATGTTTGTTGTTTAAGCCATCCGATCTATGGTCTTTGGATATAGCAACCTGAACAAAGACAGTAGGTTTAATACCTACCTTTCAAGGTTGTAAGGTTACAGCTAATGCATATAAAGTATCCATCACAGAACATACATTCAATAAATGATAACCACTCTTACTAGGAAACTGGGTTCATCCTTTGTGTACATACATACATACACACACACACGCATAAAACGTGTATATGTGTGTATTATATATATAAAGTAGGTTTATTGAGGTTTAATTTATATACAGTAAACTTCATTCATTTTAAGTGTATGGTTTGGGGAGTTCTGGCAACCATATATCTATGTAATCACCACCACAGTCATGATCTAGAACATTTCTTTTTTTTTTTTTTTAAAGATTTTATATATTTGACAGAGAGACACAGCGAGAGAGGAACACAAGCAGTGGGAGAGGGAGAGGGAGAAACAGGCTTCCCGCCGAGCAGGGAGCCCGATGCGGAGCTCGATCCCAGGACTCTGGGATCATGACCTGGGCCGAAGGCAGATGCTTAACGACTGAGCCACCCAGGCACCCCAAGATCTAGAACATCTCTATTACCATTCCCAAAACTTTGTGCTTCTTTGGAGTCAATCCCTGACTCCTCCATCCCTGGCCTCAGGCTATCACTGATTTACTGCCTATCATTAACATTTTTGCCTTTTCTAGAATTACATAAAAATGGAATCATATACCATAATCTTTTGTGTCTTGCTTATTTCTCTTTGCATAATGTTTTTGAGATTTATCCATATTGTGTGTATATTAGTTTTTTTCTTTTGCTGAATAGAATTCCATGTGCCAGTTGACGGACATTTGGGATATTTCCAATTTGGGGCTATATAATGCTGCTATAAACATTCATATCCAATGTGGGTACATATGCTTTAATTTCTCTTGGGTAAATATTTAGGACAGGAATTGATAGGTCATATGGTATATTTAATTTGATAAGAAAGTACCAACTGCCTTCCAAAGTGGCTGTGCCATTTTATATTCCCACTAAGAATGCATGAGATTTATAGTTAGTTGCTTTTATTCCTCACCAGTACTTGGTATTGTCATTTCTTTTCATGTTAGTTGTTTTAGTGTGTCGATGGAGACATCTTATTGTGGTTTTAATTTTTTATTTCTTTGATAACTCATGTGCCGAGCATCTTTTCATGTACTCATTGGTCATTAGCATATTTTCTTTTGTGAAGTGTCCAATCTTTCGTCCATTTTAAAACTTAAGTGTTTTGTCTTCTTATTATCATGCTGTAGAGTTCTTGAGATATTCTGGATTCAGGTCCTTGTTCACATATATGTTTTACAAAAGTTCTCTCCCATTTTGTGACTTGCATATTCATTTTCTTAATGGTATCTTTTAAGAAGCCTAAGTTTTTCCCGAGATCAGACGAGATCAGGCGCGTTCAGGGTGGGATGGCCGTAGCGCCTGGGTGGCTCAGTCTTTAAGTGTCTGCCTTCATCTCAGGTCATGATCTCAGGGTCCTGGGATCGAGTCCCCTATCAGGCTCCCTGCTCTGAGGGAAGCCTGCTTCTCCCTTTCCCACTCTCCTGGCTTGTGTTCCCTCTCTCGCTGTCCCTCTCTCCCTGTTAAAAAATAAATGAAATCTTGGGCACCTGGGTGGTTCAGATGGTTAAGCATCTGCCTTCGGCTCAGGTCATGATCTCGGGGTCCTGGGATCGAGCCCTGCACTGGGCTCCCGGCTCCTTGGGAGCCTGCTTCTCCCTCTGCCTCTCTCTCTCTCATGAATAAATAAATAAAATCTTTAAAAAAAAACACAAACGAAATCTTAAAAAAAAAAAAAAGAAGCCTAAGGTTTTTATTTTTATGTGTATGTCCTATCTGAGTATCCTTTGCTTATCTCAAGCTAACAAAGATTTTCTCTTACTTTAGTTTTCACATTTAGGTTTATGATCCAGTTCAAATTAATTTTTTGTATGATGTGAAGTAAGGGTAAAGGGTCTTTTTCTCCATATGGATATCAAACTGCTCCAGCACCGTATGTTAAAAAGATGATCCCTGGGCACCTGGGTGGCTCAGTTGGTTAAGCGGCTGCCTTCGGCTCAGGTCGTGATCCTGGAGTCTCGGGATCGAGTCCCGCATCGGGCTCCCTGCTCGGCGGGGAGTCTGCTTCTCCCTCTGACCCTCCTCCCTCTCATGCTCTCTGTCTCTCATTCTCTCTCTCTCAAATAAATAAATAAAATCTTAAAAAAAAAAAAAAAGATGATCCCTTCCCTATTCAGTTACCTTGACATCTGTGTAAAAAAAAAATCAACTGACCATGTAAGTGTGAGTCTATTTCTGGACTCTCTATTCGTTCCCATTGATCCACATACCCATCCTATGCCAGTACCACAGTGTCTTGGTTAATGTAGCCTTACAGTAAGTTTGAGATCAGATAGTGTAAGTCTTCTAATTTTTTTTTTCAAAATATTTTGGTTATTCTAGGTCCTTTGCATCTCCAAATATGTTTGCCAATTGGCTTGGGAGTTTCTACAAGAAATCTGCTGGGATTTTGATTGGGATTACAATGAATTTGTAGGTTAACTTGTGGAGAAATGGCATCTTAACAAGACTGAACCTTCCAAAGCATTAACATGGTATATCTACCCATTTTTTTAGGTCTTCTTTAATTTCTCTCAGTAATGTTTTCTAGTTTTTGATATAAAGATACTGTATATGTTTAATCAAACTTATTCGTATTTTATTTTTAATGTTATAAACAGAACTGTTTTTTTTTCTCAATTTCATTTTCTGTTTGTTGCTGGTATATAGCCATGGAATTGATTTTTGTATGTTGATCTTGCTTCCTGTGGCCTTACTACATTTGCTTACTAGTTCTGGGAGCATTTCTGTGGATTCTTTGGGGTTTTGTATATTCATGATTTGGTTATCTGAAAATATTGATGGTTTGATTTCTTCCTTTCCAAACTGCCTGTCTTTACTTAACCTCTCTTGCCTGTTGCATTGGCTAGGACCTCTAGTAAATTATATAACAGAAGTAGAAGTATCCACTAAGCAAGAGGCCTACCTCGAAATAGGCGAGCAAATGCTTTATTTGCTGTGTTACTGAGGAGACAGTGTATCAGGTTGCTCTTGAAAGATTTGCTCCAAAGCTTGTCAGTTTACAGGTGATTATAGGGGAAAAGGGGAAGGGGTGTGTGTATGTGCTGGCAAGCTCTGCTCCAAGGTATAGTTGTGCATCACAAGATATAATTTGTTGAGTTGTAAAAATTAAGGTTTACTGATTTCCATGTAGACACATGGACTACCCTTAGGTCATCTTAATACTTTGTTTCTATCATATCTGATGTTTAAAAATATTGCCTGGGTGCCCCACTCAACTGTTTTTCTGGTTCTTTTTTGTTTCCAGTTTCTCCTTGAGGTCACTGGAGAGGGTCACAGGAGGCTGATATCGGCCACCTACTGCAGTTTGACATGGGGGTGGGGCGGTGGGGGGGTAAGGAGGTAGGGAGGGGTGGGGGTGGGGGGGAGACATCCTTGCTTTGTGACTGATCTGAAGTGGAAAGCTTTCAGTCTTCCACCTGTAAGAATGATGTCTGTCATTTGTAGCAATTTCATAAATTCTCCTTATCAGGTTATGAAAATTTCCTTCAATTTCTAGTGTGCTCAGAGGTTTTGTCATGAATGGGTGTTTAATTTTGTCAAATACACTTTCTGTGTCTATTGAGATGGTCATAGGAGTTTTGCACTTTACTGTGTTAATATAGTGAATTATTTTAGTTGATTTCCAAATGCTAAACCAACCTCACATTCTTGAAATAAAAAGTACTTCAGTTTAAAGTATTATTCTTCGTATCTATTGCAGAGTTAGATTTGCTAATATATTTTAAGGACTTCTGTATCGTACTCATGGTGATGTGATATTGTTTTCTTTTGATATCTTCAAATGTTTTTGGTATCAGTAACACTGGGCTTATAAAAGATGTGGAAAATGTGGTGTGGTGGAAAATAAACTGAACAGTGGCTCCCAAAATACGTCCATGTCCTAATCCCCAGAATCTCCGAATGTCACCTTCTATAGAAAAAGAACTGGGGCACCCGGGTGGCTCAGTCGTTAAGCATCTGCCTTCAGCTCAGGTCATGATCCCAGTTAAGCTCTGCCCTCGGCTCAGGTCATGATCCCAGGCTCCTGGGATCGAGACCTGCATTGGGCTCCCTGCTTCGCGGGAAGCCTGCTTCTCCCTCTCCCACTCCCCCTCCTTGTGTTCCCTCTCTCGCTGTGTTTCTCTCTGTCAAATAAATAAATAAAAATCTTTAAAAAAAAAAGAAAAAGAATTTTGCCAAATGATTAAGTTAAGTTTCCGGAAATGGGGAAACAGTCTTGGATTATCAAGATTGTTTGTGTTAGGGTGCCTGGGTGGCTCAGTTGGTTAAGCGACTGCCTTCGGCTCAGGTCATGATCCTGGAGTCCCGGGATCGAGTCCTGCATCCGGCTCCCTGCTCGGCAGGGAGTCTGCTTCTCCCTCTCCCGCTCCCCCCTCTTGTGCTCTTTCTCTCTCTCACTCTCTCTCTCAAATAAATAAAATCTTAAAAAAAAAAAAGATTGTTTGTGTTAAAGAGCAAAAATTCAACTGAATAAATTTGAAGATCTAATTAGCTTTATTCAAAAATTCATGAATCAAAGATTCAAAGAATCATGAGCGGCATCCCTTCTAGTAAATAGACGGGTGCTGGAGGAACTGTATAGAAGGGAAGGCAGGGGGTCAAAGACTAGAAAGTTATTAGCAAAAGAAAAGTGCTCGCTTCGCAGCACATATACTAAAAATATTAGCAAAAGAAAAGAAAGGATTATTTCAGGTAAGGTTGCCTTCCCCTAAGGGGGTCTTATCAGGCAAGATTACCTCCCCAGTGCTGACTAGGAAATTCCAGACTGATGGGTTTAAAATTCCATCCCCTGAGAGGTTGAAACTCCTATTAAGACTTCATTTGCTGTCCTGAAAGTAAGTGACTCCGCCCTGGACCTATATTTTTCTTTTTTTTTTTAAAACATCTGCAAATACAATCATGAACGTCCTTACAAGTGAGAGCAGACAGAGATTTCACGTGGTCAGCAAAGGGTGAGTACGCAGAAGAGGAGTTCAGTGCAACCATGGAGGCATAGACTGGAGTAATGGGACCACATGCAGAGGAATGCTGGTAGCCACGGAAAAGCTGGAAGGGTCATGAAAATGATTCTGCCCTAGACCCTTTGGTGGAAAAGCAACCCTGCTGACAACTTGATTTGGGCCCAATAATGCTGATTCTGGACTCCTAGCCTCCAGAACTCTGAGGGCATAAATTTGTTGTTTTGATATAGGGAGTTTGTGGTAATTTGTAAGTAGCCTCAGGAAACAAATAGAGGAAGTGTTCCCTTCTTCTGTATTATCTTGAAAAATTTTATATAGGACTGGTATTACATTTTCTTTAAGTGCTTGGTAGAATTCACCTGTGAAGCTATATGGGCATATATATTTTTGAGGCAAAGGATTTAAATTACAATGTCAAGTTTTTAAAATTAACATAGAGCTATTTAAGTTTTCTATTTCATCCTGAGTTAGTTTTGGTTATTTTGTCTGTCACAGATTTTGCCCACTTCATTTATATGGTTGAATTTATTGGCGTAAAGTTATGCATTATCTTTCTTTATCATCCTATTAATTTCTATAGGACCTATGGTAGTGTCCGCCCTTTCATTCCCGATATTGGTGATTCACATCTTTTGTTCTTTGTAAAAGCCGCTTTTAGGCCACAGGCTTGCGTATTGGAAACTTGAGATCAAGGCAAAAGGGCCCACAGCCACCACCTGGCTGAATAGGTAGGCCCATCAGGTGACCCACCTCCAAGTATCCATAGGCCCTAACTAACCAATGGGTTACTTCCAACCAGGCACAGTTACCAAAAAAGGGAAAATTCCATACATCCCATACCTCCTCACCGTCCCCTTTAAGCACAGCCCCCTCCCACTGCCTCCTGGCAGCCAATCTCTCTGCTGTCCTGCTTCCAGCTCCCTTGTGGTGTCTTCAAGAAACTTCTGTTTCCTTTTACCTGCCTCAGGTGAACTCTCTCACCTCCTGAATCGTGGGCTTCCACCCAGTTGTTACCCCACATTTGGGGTCCCCCCCATCCGAGAGGGAGAGACACCACAGTCTTGACCAATGTACTTAGGTATGTATCAATTTTATTGATCTTTGCAAAAACTGCTTTTAGTTTCATTAATTTTCTCTATTATTTAATTTTAATTTTTTTTTTCTGACATTACTTCCTTTCTTCTACTTATTGTGGGCTTAACCTGTTCTTTTTCTATCTTCTTAAAGGGGATCTTAGATAATTGATTTTAGGCCTTCCTTCATTTCTGTCGTAAGCATTTGAAACTAAATTTTCCTGTAGGCATTCCCTTAGCTAAATGCCCCAAGCTTTGATATCTTTTGTTTTCATTTTCAGTTAGATCAGAGTATCTTCTAATTTTTTTGTGTTTTACCTCTCCGATCGATGTGCTATTCAAAAATATATTGCTCAATTTACACATATTTGGGTATAATCCAGATATATTTCTGTTATTGAGCTCTAATTGTACTCTGTCATGGGTCAGAAAACACATGCTGTATGAAGTCAATCCTTTTACATTTATTGAGAGTGTATTTTTGGCCTGGCATCTATGGTCTATCCTAGTGAATGTTCCACGTGCCTTTGAAAGTTCTGCTATTGTTGGGTGGAGCATCAGTAAATCTCAATTTGATCAAGTTTAGTTCAAGCTTTCTATATTGTTCCTGACTTTTTGTCTACCTGTTCTATCAATTTATTGAGAGAGGAATATGAAAGTCTTGGTTCTAATTGTTACTGATTTCTGTTTAGACAGCTTTTGCTTTATGTATTATGGAGCTCTTTTATTTATTTTTTTTTAGATTTTATTTATTTGCGAGAGAGAGAATGAGAGAGAGAGCATGAGAGGGAAGAGGGTCAGAGGGAGAAGCAGACTCCCTGCTGAGCAGGGAGCCCGATGTGGGACTCGATCCCGGGACTCCAGGATCATGACCTGAGCCGGAGGCAGTCGCTTAACCAACTGAGCCACCCAGGCGCCCATGGAGCTCTTTTATTAAGTGTCATACATTTATGACTTCTATCCTAACTTTCCCTGTCTCTGGAAGTTCCCTTGTCTTAAAGTCTATCTTGTCTTATGTTAATAGAGTCTCTCCATCTCTTTCTTATGCTCACTGCATGATAGGTCTTTTCCATCATTTTACTTTCAACCTATTTTGTCTTAATATTTTAAATGCTTATATGATAGCATATTGCTAGGTGTTGCTTTTTATGTCATCTGAAAAGCTCTACCTTTTGATCAGTGTTTAGTCCATTACATTCAATGTAATTAATTATATAATTGGATTTAGGTCTTCCATTGTTATTCATTTTTAAATTGCTTTTTTTTGTTGTTCCTCTGTTCTTCCTTTTCTGTCTTTTCTGTCAATGAAATTTTTTTAGTGCCATTTTAATTCCACTCTTGGGTTTTTAGGTCTATTCCTTTCATTAATTTTTGGCACTTGCTCCAGGGATTACAACACGCATCTTTTACTTATCACAATTTACTTCAAGTTACTACAGGAACCTTGCATTGGGAAAGCCTGGGTGGCTCAGATGGTTAAGTGTCTGCCTTCGGCTCAGGTCATGATCCTGGGGTCCTGGGATCGAGCCCCATATCAGGCTCCTTGCTCAGCAGGGAGCCTGCTTCTCCCTCTGCTTACCACTTCCCCTGCTTGTACTCTCTCTCTCTCTGACAAATAAATAAATAAAATCTTTAAAAAAAAGGGAACTTGCATCAGTATATGGATCCACACTTGCATTTTAATACTCCTTTTTTTTTTTTCTTAAGATTTTATTTGACAGCAGAAGAGCACAAGTAGGGGGAATAGCAGAGAGAGAGGGAGAAGCAGACTCCCCGCTGAGCAGGGAGCCTGACATGGGGCTCTATCCCAGGACCCTGGGATCATGACCCAAGCTGAAGGCAGATGCTTAACCAACTGAGCCACCCGGGAGCCCCCTCTATTTGGTTTTTATTTGGTGAAACGCTATTGATTTTTTTTTTTTTGATATATGTCGGTTGCAGAAAAGAAAAGTGAACTTACTGAGGCATTTGCCATAGGAAAGTCTGAGGAGGTAATTGGAATGAAGAGGAGGGGCAGAGGCGTGACATCATACGTGTAGATTATGAAAGGCAGAGGAGTTTCTGAGAGGTTGTGGCTGTTGGAGAATGGGAGAGAGGAATGTTGTTCCAGAAGGTACGACAAATCTGAAGTACAAGTGTGCATGAGCTATGGCTTCCAAGAGACAAGGAAAATTGGCGAGTGGGTGAGTAAAATTTGGAAACTCAGTTGAGGCACTTTTTAATAATAGATAAAACTAACAAAAAATTGTGTTAGTATGGAAAAGTATATTTTTCTGGGACTTTGACTATTTTACACCTGAGTGTAAGCCAAGCTAGGGAAAATCTAACAGTGAAAATGCTTAGAGACATTTACAGAAAGGACTAGAATGAAATGAAATAAATAAACAAAAAAGAATGACTGGATGTCATGTTGCCATGACCAGCAAGTCTAGGTACTAGCATCACTTTACAGATGAGAAAAACAACTTTTTGTTTTTGCATAGTATGTAAATTTAGGGTGAATTAATAAAATCTTGCCTTGTTATAAAAATTTTTCACCCAGAAAACACTAGCAATTCTGCTTCGCCTGTTTTTTTTTTTTAATGTTTTTTTCCTGAGAAAAGTCTTAACTATTGCACCTGTTCTATTCAAAAAAGCATTATAATCACCAGCAGATGTGCCAATGGCAAAAGAAAATGTGAAGTCCTAAGTGTCTCATTAGAGGAACCCTAGGATAGGATCGGTTACATTTAATTCCCAAGGCCCTCTCATTATATTTCTCTTTAAAGGGCTTGTTGCAATGTAGTTCTCATGAACTGGGAGGTTGTCTTACCTTGGGAAATATTAATATTTCATCCTGTCCTTTAATGTGCCTGCCAACATATTTAAAAAACAAGTAAAAATTGCATGTATTAGAATGATGAAAAATGTTTTAAGACATTAAACTATTTAACTGAACTTTAAACTGTTTGGAGGTGAGTTCAGGCAGATGACACTAATAAAGAAGCCCAGGTATGCTGCGACATGGTACTGTCATAGTTGAAACTGGTGACGTTCCAGAATCCAGTGGTTGACAACTGAGCGTAATTAGCTCCCTTGTGTAGCCCCAGACTCCGAAGACTCATCAGCCAGTGGCACTCTGGGGTCGCATCAACATTCCATTGTCTCTTACCCTCACCTGCTGACAGAGAACCTCCCACCCTTGCAAAGTCTTCCCAAGGTGTGTTTGAGTCTTTCTGGGGGTTTCTTATATGCATTCCTGAATGAGTCTTCCTGGAAATTGGCCACGTCTTCCTTCTCTTCCATGGCAAGATCTGAGGTAGATGTTTGTGCATTGAGGGGAGGCATGTCCCCTTCCAGTCTGCATTCCACTCTAAGTCTTGGTGGAATGTGGGACTACTTGTGCTCCCTCACGTTTTATAGAAGCTGTAGGGAAACTTCTCTTTCATGTTCTTTGCAGCCCTCTCTCTCTCTGGTATGCGACCCTAGGAAGACATTCATGGGGTACTCTGTAGGATAAGTACTGCTGTACTCTTAATTAGCTGCTCCCTCTGCTTCAGAGGTTTGATTACCTGGCGAAGTAGGATGTTTCTGGCCTCTTGGTCCCTTAAGAGGAATTTTCTATGGGGTTAGGCTCTCTGTTCTGGGAAGGGAAGGCAGACATTGAACCCTCTGGTTCATCTCTGCATCGCCAGAGTAGGGCACACGCTAGAAACTTGTCATCTCTCTGCCTGGCGCTCTTAAGTCTTGCAACAAATAGAATTCTTTTGGGGTTGACCCCACAAGTTTGCCAGTTTCCTACATTTTGTCTTAGGCACAAGCTAAAACTCTCACTGCATTGAAAAGATCTCATGAAATATCATAGTTACTTTGGGCTAAATTGCTTTATTCCTAAAGAGCTTGGAAATTTTGACAAAATTTCATTGCCCATATCATTACCATTTCAACTCCGGCATCTCCTGATTTTCCATCGTTTTGCGTTTGGTTTAATTACAGACTAACGTAGGCATTTCAACGGTTCCATCCTGATGAGATAATTGCCCCTTGCCTTGCCACTAACAAACCATATTGGGCTAGGGTTGCCAGAGAAAACACAAGACACTCAGTCAAATTTGAATTTCTAGTAAATGTAATGAATACTTTCTTAGTATTATTAAGTCCCATGCATTTTGGCAATGGAACATGGTCCCATATTTATACTAAAAATTATTTTGTTTATCTGAAATTCAAATTTATTGGTTCTCCTGTTTTTATTTTTCTGGAAAAACCATTTCTCTTTTCTGTGTTTCTGCTTCTTCATCTATAAAATGGAGTATCAGCCTTGTGTACCTCATTAATCTAAAGCTCAGATGACATCAAGTGCATTAATGTTCTTTGATAAATAAGAATTTGCCACAAATACGTGAGACACTACTAGCCATTCCACAACGGTTTATTGAGTATCTACTATTTGCTCTGGTTGGTGTTAGCACACATTTGCATAGTGAACTCAAAATAAGCAGAAGACAGGTTTTGCTTCTAAGGAGCTTTTCAGATTGCTAAGACAAGTTCCGTGGTCTTTTAAACACTACAGAAGATAAACAAGTGTAATGCAAGGTAGTAAGAACAGTGTGTACCTCCTGGAGGGTGCTGAGAACTGAGTCCTGATTTCGACCAAAGGACCTCATGGATTCTGGATTCCTTGCTGGGAATCCTCAGGAAATCCTGTGAGTGCCAGAAACATAGGGAGCATAATAAAATCCAGAAACAAGGCACTGGAACAAGGAAGGAATTGTCCTTGTAGCATAATATCGGATCCAGTTTCCAAGTTCCAAAGTGAGTTCATGTGTTCTCATTTTTAATCTTAATTTCAGCTTGAATAATGCCTTCAAAAACCAAATTAGCATAATGTTTTCAAATGAGAAAAGCCTCTAATATCCCATACAGTCCATCTCCTAAGTACATATTTAAAATGAGAGATTAAAAGATAATAATAAAATAAAATGGGAGGTTTTTTTTTTATTCCTTCATTCATCCTTTTGTTCATTCATACGTTGTCTACTCAATAAATAGTATCGAGCATGTGCTATGTGCCAAGGAATGTGCTCAGTATACAGGGTATTTAGAGATAAAAAAGGGACAATCTCAATGAGGTGCTCGCTTTACTGTTTCTATAAATAGACCCTGAGATCTTGTTTAGAGATTCTAGTTAGGACAGATAAGCTTTGAGTGTGCCCTTGATCTAGGAACCATCTTTATTCCTGTGGAAGGAATGTCTTGTCTTCAATGAACCTTGTATTTGTGTAGGATCACGTGATCTAGATTCGCTGACTAACTCTGATCTCCCAGACTGTGACAGATTAACACAGCCAGATAACCCTTATATCTTAAGACAAAAGTCTAGGAGAAGACAGACATGTAATGCATATCGTTAATAGCGTATGAGGAGGGGATTGTACAAGGTGCTGTAGAAAACAGGAGAGAGTGTCAGAGAGGATTTCTGGGCAGCTTTTCAGAGTGGGCAGCGCTGGGAGCTTACCAGGGTGTGAACGTGGGAGGACATTGCTGGCAGGGTGAACATCGTGTGCTTCTGAAGAGCATTTGTCAGACTCTGCCTTATGGCTTTCTGCTGTCCTTCCTCAAGACAGCAGGCTCCTCCCGGCCTGGGAGGGCTGTGTCTTGTCTTTGCATCCTATCATCTAGCAGAGTGTCTTTCAAATGGCTCTTTTAGCTCAACGGGCCGGAGTTGCATTAATAACTTTTTTGAATAGACTTCATAATAATGGGATGGTATATATTCATAGGCAGCGTGAAGTCAAAGACTTTGGTTCAAATCTTGGCTCACCACTCACCGGGTCATACCATCTTGAGCATGACACCCTCCCTGAAACTTTTCCTTATAAGAAAAATGAGAAAAATAAGATCTACTTCATATGTTGTTTTGAAGATTATATGCTGCTGGTATAAAGAGAGACAGCTTATTCTAAATCCATTCCCCATCCCCACCTATAATATGCTTCTCACACTGACTTGGCATTTAGTTGCTACATTTTTTGGAAGAAAGATTTAAGAACCTGGAATACAGCCCACTAAACAGTAAAAATTCTGCTTGTGTGAAAAAGAATTATGTTTACAGCTTTATATACATTCATACACATTGTGACGTATCCATATATTGCAAGTAGATCGTGTTTAGGTAACTCTCTCAGGGAGGATGCTTTTGTTGGCTAGTGGTCATGCGTGCTTCCCAGATGTGTTCTGGTGAGACAGCGTCTGGAAATCAGGAAGCTGTTTGCAGTATACCATGAACATTTGAAGTGTCAAATTAAAAAAAAAAAAAAACAAATATATATTTTGTTGCGGAATCATTGTAGGTTAAAAAATAACCCATGAGAAGTGTTTTAAAATTTTTGGAAAGAGCTTAGTATTCTCTCCAGGAATCCCTGTGAATCAGGAAGAGCTGGCCATTGATTTAGGGACATGGGAGGGCACCCATATTCCTTGGCAGCAGAATTTGACAATCTCTGGTCTGTTAGATTAACCAGTTTCAGTGAAAATCAGTTCTAAATCATTTTAAACATTTCTTAAACAGGTATCTTTCTAATTGACTCAGCCTTGAGAGAGTGGATCATTTTGAGGAATAGCTAATTTCTGGAATAACAGAAGACTTAGTTTAAACACTCAGGACATTATTAAAAGGATACGAAAGGCCCCATTCCTCTTACCTTCCCACCCAATTCGACATCGTTTTTGAAGAGGGAAATAATTTCATATCCAGGCTCCTTATCTTATGAATCCTCCAACTACCTGTTCCCTCCTGGGACCAAAGAGAAAAAATTGAGACTCGAAAGCATTGTCTTCGACGGACAGTGTTTTCCACTTTCTATCCTGGTTCAGCAGCATCCAAGAGCCAACTTCAGACCTGGTCAATGGAAGGAAGTCTTTTTATGTCTCCTCCTCTCTTTTTGTCATCTCTCTTGATTAAAACCCCAAGGACAGAGGGCTTAAGTGGCTTGATCTGTGAGTTAACATACCTGGGAAATACTAAGTAAGAGAGGGCGAGTGGATCCTGGGGGACTAAAGAAAGCCTGCCTGGTTCCTCTGAAGAATGTTACAGCATGACTCCCAACTGTATCCTCCTCTCCGGCCACATATCCTGGCATATTGCCCCTCTCCAGAACATCCTGGGCTCCAGCCACGTTGAGCTGTTAATGATGATACCGTG